GCATATCTGCAGACAATTCAATATCGAAATTGAACAGCAGCCTTGTTACAGCCAGTATAACTCTTAATCGTCAAAGTTCTGAGAAGAAATATGTACAACAAGTTCAACGCTAATTCTACAATTATGACGCATACATTCATGTATACAGTCTACAAGCTCACAACTTGCAAGTTGTTTATACCCTTTATATATAAGGAAGTCGGAATTATATTCAAAACTGAAATTACTTTCACGACAACCAGGAAAATAACCTACCCAGCATAAAATTACAGAGCGAGATTTTCGCCGGAGGTTTCGCAAGTTACCATTAACCCTCGAAACACGTGGTCACCGGAATAACTTCGAAGCTACGGTGAAGACCGACGCTTATGCTAATATCAACGAATTTACAAGAATTTATTCAAGGTGGGTTTTTCCCCGCTACACCGGTGACATCACAGCTGGTATTATACAGAATCAAAATGCCTTGTTCTGATTGGACCATGAGGGACAACGACCTACACAGAGGTCGATCTCTATTCACAGTTCAAGACTTACGCCACAAGTGACAACTATATATCAGTGAACGAAAGCAAGCCTCATTACAGTCCAGTTAACCTGAACATTCATGATTAGACTGCCTTTCTTCAAGATAGAGACCTCCCCTGTCAAGTTAAGACGAGGGATCGGCAGTCAGGCGATTTTACATAAAGTTCAACGAGGACAGACACACCTGGTTGTGCACCTACATCGCCAAGGACTTCGCAGGCTTAATTACCTAGACGAAAGATACAAGTGGATCTAAATCCACAGCGTTTCAGACTACAGCTGAATTTCATCAAGCTTAATAACACAACTAGATGGTTAGTAAACCTACTAAACTTCTGTTTGGAGAATAAACGAAATTTCACGCCAACCTGGGGATATGAATATAGTGCTCCAACACCTCACAAGTGAGGTTTATGAACACGCCTGGATGACATACTTGGACCCCATGATACGATGATTCTATCAAGATGGCCAGCAAGAGCACTGTAAATTTATCTCCACCAAACCAAACAGGAGTAAAAAAAAAAAAAAATGCAACAGATTATTTCCTCTATCATCAACTTACGCAGAGAGAAGTCTCATGTACTATATCTCCATTTGGATCAGAACTGTCATACTACGTGCATATGCGGATGGACCTATTCCGACCCTCCATGAGCTTAATACTCATGATATTATAGCTTAACTTCTACAATTGTTCCACACAAATGTGATTGAAATATTGGAGGGTTTATTTCTGAGATCCGATATGGTGGTTGCAAACCATTATCTGAGAGATATCACCACCGAGGACGCCTCAGGTATACACCAATTCGATCCCATGGTCCTCGCACAACAGCTGACAGTTCTCGAGAAGATAAGTCAATCTAACAGATTTTACTTATCTTATAACAATACTAAATAGCTTCATGCTATATATAATTTACTTAAGTTCCTTTTATCATCACAGTACTATGATTATTACATCATACAATATATAAGTTAACAACTCTACAGAGTTTGTTATTATATATATTTACCTTAAGTTATTCATATCTTAAGAGTAATATTATGGTTACATGATAAATGCATCAGCTAACAAACTCTACAGAGTTTTTGGCTATTTTATACATAGCTTAAGTTAATTAAGCTTAACAAACTCTACGAGTTTTACTATTATATAGGTAACTTAAGCTAATTATACCTTAAGCATAGTACTATACTCATATTATTAAAATATATTGGCTAACAAACTCTAAGGAGTTTTGCTATTATATAGGTAGCTTAAGCTTATTCATATCTTAAGCTTAGTACTATGTTTATATCATATAAGTAGATTAGCTAACAAACTCTAAAGAGTTTTTGCTATTTGGCTTAAGTATCATCATATTTCTAAGCAATATGGTTATATTATAACATGTATTAGCTAACAAACTCTACAGAGTTTTAGCTATTATATATGTAACTTAAGCTTATTCATATCTTAAAGCAATAGTACTATGTTTATATCATATAGGTATATTAGCTATCAAAACTCTAAAAGAGGGTTTTGCTATTATATATTTCTCGCTTAAGTTTCATCATATTTTAAGCTTTATAGTTACATTATAACATGTATTAGCTAACAAACTCTAACGGAGTTCTTGCTATTATATATGTAGCTTAAGTTTTCCTTCATAAGCTCAATACTAGGTTTATATCATAGCTAACAAACTCTAAAGGGTTGTTTTCAGCTATTATACAATTAGCTTAAGTTTTCATCATATCTTAAGCAGTATGGTTACATTATAAAGTTGTATTAGCTAACAACGTGAGTTTTTGTTATTATATATATATAGCTTAAGTTTCATCATAACTTAAGCTCAGTACTATAAGCTTAGTACTATGGTTTACGTTATAAACATATTAGCTAATAAACTCTACAGAGTTTTGGCTATTATATATGTAGCTTAAGTTAATAATATCTTAAGCACAATACTATACTCATATTGTAAAATATATTAGCTAACAAACTCTAATGGAGTTCTGCTATTATATATGTTGCTTAAGTTCATTATATCTTAAGCACAATATATCATATTGTAAAATATATTAGCTAACAAACTCTACAGAGTTTTGCTATTATATATATTTACCTTAAGTTATTCATATCTTAAGCACACTACTATACTCATATTGTGATAAATATATCAGCTAACAAACTCTACAGAGTTTTTGCTATATATATAGCTTAAGTTAATTACTTATAGCTCAGTAAGTTACTAATATTATAAATAACAAACTCTACAGAGTTTTACTATTATATAGGTAACTTAAGCTAATTATACCTTAAGCATAGTACTATACTCATATTATTAAAATATATTTAGCTAACAAACTCTAAGGAGTTTTGCTATTATATAGGTAGCTTAAGCTTATTCATATCTTAAGCTTAGTACTATGTTTATATCATATAAGTAGATTAGCTAACAAACTCTAAAGAGTTTTTTGCTATTTATATGGCTTAAGTATCATCATATTTCTAAGCAATATGGTTATATTATAACATGTATTAGCTAACAAACTCTACAGAGTTTTAGCTATTATATATGTAACTTAAGCTTATTCATATCTTAAAGCTTAGTACTATGTTTATATCATATAGGTATATTAGCTATCAAAACTCTAAAAGAGGGTTTTGCTATTATATATTTAAGCTTAAGTTTCATCATATTTTAAGCTTTATAGTTACATTATAACATGTATTAGCTAACAAACTCTCACGGAGTTCTTGCTATTATATATGTAGCTTAAGTTTTCCTTCATAAGCTCAATACTAGGTTTATATCATAGCTAACAAACTCTAAAGGGTTGTTTTATATTATACAATTAGCTTAAGTTTTCATCATATCTTAAGCAGTATGGTTTACATTATAAAGGTATTAGCTAACAAAACTCGATTTGAGTTTTGTTATTATATATATATAGCTTAAGTTTCATCATAACTTACTAAGCTCAGTACTATAAGCTTAGTACTATGGTTATTTTGCTATTATAAACATATTAGCTAATAAACTCTACAGAGTTTTATTAGCTATTATATATGTAGCTTAAGTTAATAATATCTTAAGCACAATACTATACTCATATTGTAAAATATATTAGCTAACAAACTCTACGGAGTTCTGCTATTATATATATGTTGCTTAAGTTCATTATATCTTAAGCACACTACTATACTCATATTGTAAAATATATTAGCTAACAAACTCTACGGGAGTTTTGCTATTATATATGTAGCTTAAGTTAATTATATCTTAAGCACACTACTATACTCATATTGTAAAAAATATATTAGCTAACAAAACCCTACAGAGTTTTACTATATATATGTAGCTTAAGTTAATTATATCTTAAGCTCAGTACTATACTAATATTATAAATATATATTAGCTAACAAACTCTACAGAGTTTGGCTATTATATATGTAGCTTAAGTTAATTATAGCTTAAGCACAGTACTATACTCATATTATAAAAATATATTAGCTAACAAACTCTACAGAGTTTGGCTATTATATATGTAGCTTAAGTTAATTATAGCTTAAGCACAGTACTATACTCATATTATAAAAATATATTAGCTAACAAACTCTACAGAGTTTTTGCTATTATATATGTAGCTAAAGCTTATTCATATCTTAAGCTCAGCATTATATCTATATCATATAAGTATATTAACTAACAAACTCTAAAGAGTTTGCTATTATATAATTAGCTTAAGTTTAATCATATCTTAAGCTTAGTACTATGTTATATCTTAAAGTATTTTAGCTAACAAACTCTAAGGAGTTTATACTAGCATATTAACAAGCTTAAGTCTATTAGTCTTAAGCATTGTATTAATGTTATATATACTTTATCATAATAAGTACATGGTAATAACCTTTTATATGGCAGCTGATAAGTTAGCAGCAGGAATTCATCAATTCAGTGCCTTTTATGAAGTTCCCATAGGGTTATTACAATCATCACAGTTCAAATCACTAATTATTAAAAATCCAAAGTATTAGATATTCCCACCTCCGTTCCGTAGGATGCTACAAGCAAAAGAGCATGAGTCAGGATAAGGAAAATATGTAATTTTTGGAGTAAAATTGATATTTTATACTTATCCTGACTCATGAGGTCAGCCCTCCCATCCTCCCCAAATAACACTTTGGATTTCCCCTGTAAATTCAAATGTTGGGCTCAGTATATGAGGAGAGAGTGAGGCACATGGGTAGAGGTGGCGCCCTCGTTCCCGCGCTTGTGGAAAGGAGGTAACTCGTGGTGAATACTAATTAGTGATTTTAAATTGAAGGGAGCTTCAATTAGGGAGATACAAGTGTTCCACTATGTTCGCAAGAAGAAGAAGACAAGCAAAAAGAGCATGAGTCAGGATAAGTATAAAATATCAATTTTACTCCAAAAATTACATTTTGTTATTATATCATTAGTTCTTTTTACTTTTAGTGTCACTGAAATAACAGTTTTACCAAATAACGGAGTTCCTGTGGAACCATTCCTGGGAGCATGCAGATCCATTGTGCCTATATTTGGTGAGACAGAAATGCATTTTGCACTTATTACTAATATGTTGCATACTAAGAAAGTGTAATCCCAAATATAACATATGTTACATGATGAATACTTATAGGAAGTAAACATCTGATTTTGATTCATTGATGGATAGTGCTTTGAGACATTCATGGTCATCAAAGGAGCAATTCAAATAGCTAAATCTATTTTTAGAGATTAATTAGTTGGGAACAAACGTGGTTCAAATTTCACTGAATCCAAAATGATTTCAAAACTACTTACCAAACATTATCATATCTCATTGATATATGCAGATGGCCTATGGAAGATTCCCTAATATTCCCTATCATGGCAAATATGATACCAAATATAATAAATTTTTCCTTATCCTGACTCATGCTCTTTTGCTTGTCTTCTTCTTCTTGCGAACATAGTGGAACACTTGTATCTCCTTAATTGAAGCTCCCTTCAATGTAAAATCACTAATTAGTACTCACCAAGAGTTGCCTCCCTTTGCCTCCGCGCGGGAAAAGGTGGCGCCACCCTCTGGCCTCATGCTTCACTCTCTCCTTCTTCGCCGAGTGAGCAGGATGTGAGAGCGCCTGTGTCTCCTTACACACTATATCCTTTGGTTTTTCTTAGTTAGTTACCTCCTATAGCTTACTATAGAGGTATAGCTAGTATCCTTCATTAATATGTATTGATAATTAATCGTATTTCTACTGTTTATTCACGTGAGTTTGTGATTGCTCAGCTAGTATTACGTTGATGAAAATCTGTACTGTTTGCAGATTACGTTTTTATTCTGCTGCTGATCCGCATTAATATGCCCTAGCTGTACTGCGACCATGTTCATTTTATTCACGTTGCAGTTGCGGTACTAATTTATCCAATTCTGCCTTTTATAAATATTTACTTTGCGTTTGAGACGCGCAGCAGATAGGTCGCGTATGCAGAGTCTAGCCATGACTGATACACCTGAACCCCTCGCCAGTCTACTGCTGTTGGTCGACCTCCCTCCCGGTATTCCGCGAAGGTCGCGAAGGCTAAGTGGCTCCAAGTTTACTTCACCCAGAAGATCTAGAAGGGATACTTCGAGAGCTTCGCTAAGTCTCCGGCGTTCACCGAGGAAGTCTCCTCCAAGGTCTCCATATACTAACCACTCGTCATATATAGCCACTCGTCAGTCCGTTCAAGACATCGCATAAGTTGTCTATCAACTGTATGCCATATGCCGTCTATAAGCCTACGCGAAGACAATTGCACAGGCTATTTACAACACAGAACGTCGTTGTATTAATTAGTCAACGACGTTTCACAGATCTTCACAGGAATCAACTTTTCCGTATAGATTGCTAGTTATGCAATCCCGGACTACGATACGATTATCTACATGCGTGACCATTACGCAGATCTGCAGACAATTCAATATCAAAATTGAACAGCAGCCTTGTTACAGCGAGTATAACTCATAATCGTCAACGTTTTCTGAGAAGAAATATGTACAAGTTCAGCTTTAATTCTACAATTATGACGATACATTCATGTATACAGTCTACAAGCTGATAACTGGCAAGTTATTGTACCTTTATATAAGGAAGTCGGAATTATATTCAAGACTGAAGTTACTTTCACGACAGCCAGGAAAATAACCTACCCAGCATTAATATTTCAGAGCGAGGTATTTCGCGCCGGAGGTTTCGCGCGTTTACCATTAACCCTCGAAACACGTGGTCACTCGGGTAACTTCGGGAAGCTACGGTGAAGACTGACGATTATTCTAATATCAACGACGGCACGATATTATACAAGGTTCTTTTCCTGCTACACCGGTGACATCACAGCGCGGGTATTCTACAGAATCAAAATGCCTTGTTCTGATTGGACCGCGATGGACAACGCCCTACGCAGAGGTCGATCTTAGTTCACAGTTCAAGACTTAGGTTACAAGTGACAACTATATATCAGTGAACGAGCAAGCCTCCTTACAGTCCAGCTAATCTGAACCTTCATGATTGGGCTGCCTTCTTGAGGTTAGAGACCTCCCCTGTCAAGTTTAGGACGAGGGCACGGCAGTCAGGCGATTTTTACTTAAAGTTCAACGAGGACAGTCACACCTGGTTGTGCACCTACATCGTCAAGGACTTCGCAGCGAATTTACCTAGACGACGGGATACAAGTGGATCCAAATCCACAGCGTCTCAGACTACAGCTGAATTTCATCATCAAGCTACTAACACAACTAGATGGTTAGTAAACCTACTTAAGCTTTCTGATTGGAGGATTAAAACAAAAGTTTCACGCTCCAACTTGGGGATCTGTATATAGTGTTTGGACTCCATGATACGATGATTCTGTCACGATGGCCAGTAAGAGCACTGTATATATATCTCCACCGAACCAAACAGGAGGGAAAAATGCAACAGATTATTTCCTCTATCATCAAGTTACGCAGACTGAAGTCTCACGTACTACTATCTCCTTTTGGATCAGAACTGTCATACTACGTGCCTACAAGATTGCAGGACCCGACCCTCCATGAGCTTCTAATACTCATGATATTAGAACGCTAACTTCTACAATTGATCTACACAAGTGCTATTGGAATTATGGAGGGTTTATTTCTGGAGATCCGATATGGTGGTTGCCAACCATTATCTGAGAGATATCACCACCGAGGACGTCTCAGGTATCCACCAATTCGGTCCCATGGTCCTCGCACAACAGTTGACAGTTCCTCGGAGAAGATAAGTCAGTCTTACAGATTTCTACTTATCTTATAACAGTACTAAATACCTACATGCTATATATAACAGTACTATGGTTATTATATCATACAATATATAAGTTAACAACTCTACGGAGGTTGTTATTATATATTTACCTTAAGTTAATCATATCTTAAGCGTAGTACTATGGTTACATTATAAATGCATTAGCTAACAAACTCTACAGAGTTTTTGGGCTATTATATACGTAGCTTAAGTTAATTATATCTTAAGCACAGTACTATACTCATATTGTAAAAATATATTAGCTAACAAACTCTACAGAGTTTTTGCTATTATATAGGTAGCCTAAGCTTATTCATATCTTAAGCTCAGTACTATGTTTATATCATATAAGTATATTAGCTAACAAACTCTAAAGAGTTTTTTGCTATTATATATTTGGCTTAAGTTTCATCATACCTTAAGCATTATGGTTACATTATAACATGTATTAGCTAACAAACTCTACGGAGTTTTTGCTATTATATATGTAGCTTAAGCTTATTCATATCTTAAGCTCAGTACTATGTTTATATCATATAGGTATATTAGCTAACAAACTCTAAAGAGTTTTTGCTATTATATATTTGGCTTAAGTTTCATCATATCTTAAGCTCATGGTTACATTATAACATATATTAGCTAACAAACTCTACATAGAGTTTTGCTGTATATATGTAGCTTAAGTTTTCTTTCAGATCTTAAGCTCAATACTATATTTATATCATATAAGTATATTAGCTAACAAACTCTAAAGGGTTTTTTTGCTATTATATATTTCCATTTAAGTTTCATCATATCTTAAGCATTATGGTTACATTATAACATGTATTAGCTAACAAACTCTACAGAGTTTTTGCTATTATATATGTAGCTTAAGCTTATTCATATCTTAAGCTCAGTACTATGTTTATATCATATAGGTATATTAGCTAACAAACTCTAAAGAGTTTTTGCTATTATATATTTGGCTTAAGTTTCATCATATCTTAAGCATTATGGTTACATTATAACATATATTAGCTAACAAACTCTGAGTTTTGCTATTATATATGTAGCTTAAGTTTTTCTTCATATCTTAAGCTCAATACTATGTTTATATCATATAAGTATATTAGCTAACAAACTCTAAAGGGTTTTTGCTATTATATATTTAGCTTAAGTTTCATCATATCTTAAGCTCAGTACTATGGTTACATTATAAATGTATTAGCTAATAAACTCTACAGAGTTTTTGGCTATTGTATATATAGCTTAAGTTAATTATATCTTAAGCACAGTACTATACTCATATCGTAAAAATATATTAGCTAACAAACTCTACGGAGTTTTTGCTATTATATAAGTAGCTTAAGCTTATTCATATCTTAAGCTCAGTACTATGTTTATATCATATAGGTATATTAGCTAACAAACTCTAAAGAGTTTTTTGCTATTATATATTTGGCTTAAGTTTCATCATACCTTAAGCATTATGGTTACATTATAACATGTATTAGCTAACAAACTCTACGGAGTTTTTGCTATTATATATGTAGCTTAAGCTTATTCATATCTTAAGCTCAGTACTATGTTTATATCATATAGGTATATTAGCTAACAAACTCTAAAGAGTTTTTGCTATTATATATTTGGCTTAAGTTTCATCTTATCTTAAGCTCAGTACTATGGTTACATTATAAATGTATTAGCTAATAAACTCTACAGAGTTTTTGGCTATTGTATATATAGCTTAAGTTAATTATATCTTAAGCACAGTACTATACTCATATCGTAAAAATATATTAGCTAACAAACTCTACGGAGTTTTTGCTATTATATAAGTAGCTTAAGCTTATTCATATCTTAAGCTCAGTACTATGTTTATATCATATAAGTATATTAGCTAACAAACTCTAAAGAGTTTTTTGCTATTATATATTTAGCTTAAGTTTCATCATATCTTAAGCATTATGGTTACATTATAAAATGTATTAGCTAACAAACTCTACGGAGTTTTGCTATTATATATATAGCTTAAGTTTAATCATATCTTAAGCTCAATACTATATTTATATCATATAAGTATATTAGCTAACTAACTCTAAAAGAGTTTTTTGCTATTATATATTTAGCTTAAGTTTAATCATATCTTAAGCTCAGTACTATGGTTACATTATAAATGTATTAGCTAACAAACTCTACAGAGTTTTGGCTATTATATATGTAGCTTAAGTTAATTATATCTTAAGCACAATTACTATACTCATATTGTAAAAATATATTAGCTAACAAACTCTACAGAGTTTTTTTATTATATATGTAGCTTAAGTTTATTCATATCTTAAGCTCAGTACTATGTTTATATCATATAAGTATATTAGCTAACAAACTCTAAAGAGTTTTTGCTATTATATATTTGGCTTAAGTTTCATCATATCTTAAGCATTATGGTTACATTATAACATGTATTAGCTAACAAACTCTACAGGAGTTTTGCTCATATCTTAAGCTTAGTATATATGTAGCTTAAGGTTTCCTAGCTAACAAACTCTAAAGAGTTTTTGCTATTATATATTTGGCTTAAGTTTCATCATATCTTAAGCATTATGGTTACATTATAACATGTATTAGCTAACAAACTCTACGGAGTTTTTGCTATTATATATGTAGCTTAAGCTTATTCATATCTTAAGCTCAGTACTATGTTTATATCATATAAGTATATTAGCTAACAAACTCTAAAGAGTTTTTTGCTATTATATATTTAGCTTAAGTTTCATCATATCTTAAGCATTATGGTTACATTATAAAATGTATTAGCTAACAAACTCTACAGAGTTTTGCTATTATATATATAGCTTAAGTTTAATCATATCTTAAGCTCAGTACTATGTTTATATCATAAAAGTATATTAGTTAATAAACTCTAAGGAGTTTTTTGCTATTATATATTTAGCTTAAGTTTAATCATATCTTAAGCTCAGTACTATGGTTACATTATAAATGTATTAGCTAATAAACTCTACAGAGTTTTTGGCTATTGTATATATAGCTTAAGTTAATTATATCTTAAGCACAGTACTATACTCATATCGTAAAAATATATTAGCTAACAAACTCTACAGAGTTTTTGCTATTATATATGTAGCTTAAGCTTATTCATATCTTAAGCTCAGCACTATGTTTATATCATATAAGTATATTAGCTAACAAACTCTAAGGAGTTTTGCTATTATATATTTGGCTTAAGTCTCATCATATCTTAAGCATTATGATTACATTATAAAGTATATTAGCTATAAACTCTAAGGAGTTTTGCTATTATATATTTAGCTTAAGTTTAATCATATTCTTAAGCTTAGTACTATGTTTATATCATAAAGTATTTTACCTTACAAACATCTAAGGTGTTTATACTATCTTATTAACAAGCTTAAGTTTTTTAGTCTTAAGCATTGTATTAATGTTATGTATACTTTATCATAATAAGTAAATTGTAATAACCTTTATATGGCAGCTGATAAGTTAGCAGCAGGAATTCATCAGTTCAGTGCCTTTATGAAGTTCCCATAGGGTTATTACAATCATCACAGTTCAAATCACTAATTATTAAAATCCAAAGTATTATATATTCCCACCTCCTTTTCCGTAGGATTCTACAAGCAAAAGAGCATGAGTCAGGATAAGGAAAAATATGTAATTTTTAGAGTAAAATTGATATTTTATACTTATCCTGACTCATGAGGTAAGCCCTCCCATCCTCCCCACATAACACTTTGGATTTCCCTGTAAATTCAAGTGTTGGGCTCGCAAAATCAGGAGAGAGTGAAGCATGAGGCCAGAGGGTGGCGCCACCTTTTCCCGCGCGGAGGCAAAGGGAGGCAACTCTTGGTGAGTACTAATTAGTGATTTTACATTGAAGGGAGCTTCAATTAAGGAGATACAAGTGTTCCACTATGTTCGCAAGAAGAAGAAGACAAGCAAAAGAGCATGAGTCAGGATAAGTATAAAATATCAATTTTACTCTAAAAATTACATTATTAAAATCTGTATGTATTTTATATGTCAGTGTTTAACTTATTAATAATGATATAAATTATTGAATCACATTAGTAATGATTTCTTTAATTTAGAAACACTTCTATGGTTCATTGTATCTTTTTGCAGATAAATTAAATGGGACTGCCTTTGCTCCTGTGAAGATGGACTTTGCTGGAAACATCAGGGTGAGTCCTTCCTTGACTTGCAGTGTGATGTACATGGGGATACAGACTTTGGGTGGCCAGCCTTTTCAAAGTGCTCTATGTACATCACAATATACACAGACTTCCCTCCCCTCTAATGACGAATTTCTTATTGTAATGTCACAAACATCAAACACTGTTAAAGACATGCAACATACATACATGCAACATGTATATGCACGTATATCTGGTCAGTTGTTCTCATCAATAAGCTGTCAAATGTTATGTCACTGGTTGACCTTTGTCTGAATGAGGCCATTTGGCATTTTCTGCCTTCATGGTAGTGACATCACATGTCAGCTTGTAGATGTTACATTTGTCAGGTAAACACCATTCACAATCATGACTGACTTATTGACTTTCATTTTTAATCAAATGTAAAATTTTCAATGGTTATTTTCTTAAACCAAACTTAGGATCCTGTCTCTTCCGTGAAAATCTCAAATCCTAACTAAACTTGCAATTGTCCAGATCTCACTCCACTTCATACAAACATATGTTTGTAACTAATTCTTAAATAACATGTGAGACTTTTCCTTCCAGAAAATCCAGCAGAAGTATTCTACCAACTCAAACAGCTTTGCAACACTCCAAGACATGGTGGTTTATGAAGTCAAAGCCAAACAACACACAAACTCAAACTCTGCTACAGTAGCAATACTCTGGCTCAAACGGTATGTTCTCATTTTGTTTTTCAGGTCATTTTTTCATGTAATGATCCTTATAGAGCACTTATTATCACAGACAGACACAAGTTTAGCATCTACTGATTATCACAGACTGACACAAGTTCAGTTCAAACTGATTATCACATCCCAGCTGCGCAGATCGATGCTCATGCTGTTGATCACTGGATTGTCTGGTCCAGACTCGATTATTTACAGACCGCCACCGTATAGCTGGAATATTGCTGAGTGCGGCATAAAACTAAATTCACTCACTCACCCATGATGTCAGTCACTGGATTGTCTTGTTTAGATTGTACTGATTGCAGAATGCCATAAACAACAAACAGAAAGGTTGTCCCCTATAGCATACTACTTATCACAGATACTATAGCTTAAAGATTTTCAGTTATTGTTTATACCAAATGAAGAAAAGGGTTAGAATTGATCTTCAGTAACCCACACTTGTCATAAGAGGCATTGTAAACCAAAAGTCACTGCGTTCTTTAATCTGATTGGTTGAAAAATGTGATCAAATGGTATTAGATTCCCGGAAATTCGCTGCATATTAATACAAAAAACATCACTCACACCATTGTATTGTTACGTCGTCAGCTGTGATGACGTCATTAAAATCGTATTGTGACATAAAGTCCGAATGACGTCACAAATGAGCAGTTCCAGATGCTACCATGGGAAACAGCCGAAACGGCTGGCTGATGATATTTAACTGCTGTACCCGTACTCGATGTCAATGAGTGCAGACACAAAAACGTGTGTGGACCTTTTGGTTTACTTTTGTGTTTGTGCTGACGCCGTCGGTTGCAAATGAATTCCCGTGCTTCAAATACTCAATAACACCCGGAAATTGGTGAACACATGATGTTTATCTCCTAAACTAATGAGGTCGGGTGGTCAGGCTCACTGACCTGGTTGACACATGTCACCATATCCCAATTGCATAGACCAATGCTCATGATGTTGATCACAGGAATGTCTGGTGCAGAGTTGATTATTTACAGACCGCTGCCATATAGCTGGAATATTGCTGAGTGTGACATTAAACAACTAGCAAACAAAACAAACAGTTATTATATTGTGTTTCAGAAGGCTTGAAAATGTCCTGGAATCAGAGACACTTTAGCATAAAGAAATTATTGTATTATGTTTCAGAGGACTTGAATTTATCCTGGAATTCATGCGTGAAGTATGTTCAGGTCAGCTTGACCTTACAGTGTGTGCAAGCAATGCCTATTCCCGCAGTCTAAAACCTTTCCATGGATGGGTTGTGAGGGGCGTGTTTGCTGTAAGTAAACTGTTTGGTGGTTATTAACTTCACCTGATGTCTTTATATGACCTGGCCATGACAAATAGACCTGTGAAGATTTGGGGCTATAGAACTGATCCTCAGCAACCCATGCTTGTCATAAGAGGCAACTAACGGGATCAGGTGGTCAGACTCACTGATGTGGTTGACACATTTCATCGTATCCCAGTTATGTAGATCAATGCTCATGCTATTGATCACTGGATTGTGTGTTCCAGACTCAGTTATTTACAGATCGATTTTCATCGTGATCCCAGTTATGTAGATCAATGCTCATGCTGTTGATCACTGGATTGTGTGTTCCAGACTCAGTTATTTACAGATCGCTGCCATATCGCTGCAATATTGCTGAGTGTGGTGTTAAACCAAACCAAACCATGACAAATAACTGTGAGCATTTGTATGGACAACAGCTTCCTTTATGTTAATTTCATTGATTTGTTCATTTTGGGGAGCAGATACTGTGGCCCTTATCAAGCACATGAGGCATGTAATGATGTAGAGCAAACATCTTTATTGATAACAACTTCTTGTTTATTGCATATGAGAAACATCACTCTTTACAATAAACAAGAAGTTGTTATCCATAAAGTCATATGCCTTTTATTGACTCTCCAACTTTTAGAATGCCAATCAAACACTTTGCATCAGATAGCTGTGACTGCTAAATAGCTGAAGAATAGTGCCCTGTTAAATATTATTCAGGCACTGATCTACAATTTCAGAAATGTGACATGTTGTATTTTGCTTTTTCCTCAATAAAACTGTATTTTAATTAATAACTTTCTGCCCAGAGTGTATTTTGAACATTGTAAAAGATATTGTTGATCTGTTAGGTTGCAGTGAAAGCGCTACCATACCGTGAGGTGTTCTTGTCTCAACTGGCAGAGGTGGAGTGTGACACGGAGAGCTCCAGCTACCACCACTCCCTCAGTGAGGACTGTGAGGTCTTCATCCGTTCCCTCAGCTTCCTTACCCGAACCATCACTGACTTCTACGTCAGTCACGATCTTGACTCTGCTGAACAAGTTTGACAAGCAAACCACAGGAAATTGGCCGATTTCTTCACCACTCATAGGACAATGTTTGGTTTAAGCTGGAGCAATGTACAAATAAGGCTGTGAAGCTTACCAATCAACTCCCTTGGATTTGATTTTGCATTGAAACCGTGTGTCAGTAATAATTGTATTTTCACATTCATTGTTTAGACTTTCAATTTTGATGATGCAACAAAATGTGGATGATCATGTTTAAGTTAAGCATGCCTGATTTCATTTGCCTTTCTACTATTCTTTCAGTCTCATGAAATAGATCAAACAGAAGAACAAGTAGACTATGTTATATATATACAATCCCATCATCAGTGTAATCTGTATCCCGTCTTGTTTAACAAAATCAGAGACCAAGTTAGGACATTTACTACGAAAGGATTTGGACACTAACTAGGACATTGTACATATCCACTATTTTCAACAAATGGAACATAACATGATAATTGTGTTATATACAAATAATATATTATTTGTGTTCTTCAAGATATTTCTGTCGCGTGTAGCAGGCCTTCATATGAATGGCATTCTTATATTAGATTGAGATAATGGGTCTGTTGATCAGAAGAAGGTTGCATGTTACATTGAGTTCCAGACAAGGGAAACCTTGATGAAAATAAGTAGTTGTGGTTCCTTCGTTATGTATGAAAACATGAGATGATCCGGGTGAGAATTAATCTTCAGTAACCCATGCTTGTCGTAAGAGGTGACTAACGGGATCAGGTGGTCAGGCTCGCTGACTTGTTTGACACGTCATCGGTTCCCAATTGCGTAGATCGATGCTCATGCTGTTGATCACAGGATTGTCTGGTCCAGACTTCGATTATTTACAGACTGCCACCATATAGCTGGAATATTGCTGAGTGCTGTGTAAAACTGAACTCACTCACTCACTTATTAACTTATGACTGAAAGTAAGGACATCTGTTGTGATCATCCATTGTTGGTTGTAATCCTCTGCATGTCTGACCCATTAGACATCTTAAGGAATCATATTAATGAGTGTTCATTTTACCATTTGTAATAATGCTTACCTTACTATTACCACTGTTTGTGGTAATATAATTATACTGTTGGCTTCCTGTAGTAAAAGGGACCAGAATAAGGAAGTGATATTGAACACCAGAACAAAATATCGGGCAGCAAATATATACATATTTCCAGCTCAAATTTATTGGATTATTGGATTCAAGTTGTAACCTTGATTATTTGAGTCTATTAACCTATTTTATGATGACAAGAGAGAAATATTTATAAGGGGATGACCATTTGATATTATCGAGGGGTGATCTTGCCAGGTATTTCTTTTGAAGATTTGTCTTGTACAAGACAAAATATTATGGATGTCAACTTTTTTTATTGTATACACAATGTTTCTGGGCTATTCCTTGCCCTGCCCAGAAACGTTGTGTATACAATAAAGAAGACGTTGACATCCATAATATTTTGTCTTGTACTTGAATACCAACTTCTATATGCCTCTCAAGAACCTCAAGATTTGACTTCCTTTAATAATTTGACTTTCAGGATAAATATGATGAAATATATCCAAGCTTTAATTTAGTAGTCACAAGAGAGTGTTCATTATGAAAGTCACAAGTGTCTCTGCTTGAGATAAGTCACAACAAGCAACTGCCAGTGTTCATTTATATGGCACTTACTGATTCCCCATTAGTTTTTACCTGGCATTTCAGTGGTGCATTCTGTCTTTGTAGGGACATAGTCAGTCCATGCTTTGTTCTGACAGGCTGGCATATCTAGTGCTAAGTCATGTCATGTCCCAAAACAGTCTGTGCTTTGTGCTGTCATGACACTGTATGCATTGTTGTGCTTGGATGAGACTGTATGCATTGTGCTGTCATGACAGTTTAAGCTTTGTCTTGTCATGTATGGTATGCTTTGTTCTGTCATGACAATCTCTGCTTTGTTCTGTCATGACAATCTTTGCTTTGTATTGTCATGACAATCTCTGCTTTGTTCTGTCATGACAATCTTTGCCTTGTTCTGTCAGGACAATCTCTGCTTTGTTCTGTCAGGACAATCTCTGCTTTGTTCTGTCATGACAATCTCTGCTTTGTTCTGTCATGACAGTCTTTGCCTTGTTCTGTCAGGACAATCTCTGCTTTGTTCTGTCATGACAAGCTCTGCTTTGTTCTGTCAGGACAATCTCTGCTTTGTTCTGTCATGACAATCTTTGCTTTGTATTGTCATGACAATCTCTGCTTTGTTCTGTCATGACAATATCTGCTTTGTTCTGTCATGACAGGCTTTGCTTTGTTCTGTCATGACAATCTCTGCTTTGTTCTGTCAGGACAATCTTTGCTTTGTATTGTCATGACAATCTCTGCTTTGTTCTGTCATGACAATCTCTGCTTTGTTCTGTCATGACAGGCTTTGCTTTGTATTGTCATGACAATCTTTGCCTCGTTCAGTCAGGACAATCTCTGCTTTGTTCTGTCAGGACAATCTTTGCTTTGTATTGTCATGACAATCTCTGCTTTGTTCTGTCATGACAAGCTCTGCTTTGTTCTGTCAGGACAATCTCTGCTTTGTTCTGTCATGACAATCTCTGCTTTGTTCTGTCAGGACAATCTCTGCTTTGTTTTGTCAGGACAATCTTTGCTTTGTATTGTCATGACAATCTCTGCTTTGTTCTGTCAGGACAATCTCTGCTTTCATGACAATCTCTGCTTTGTTCTGTCATGACAATCTCTGCTTTGTTCTGTCATGACAATCTTTGCTTTGTATTGTCATGACAATCTCTGCTTTGTTCTGTCAGGACAATCTCTGCTTTGTTTTGTCAGGACAATCTCTGCTTTGTTCTTCTGTCAGGACAGTCTCTGCTTTGTTCTTCTGTCAGGACAGTCTCTGCTTTGTTCTGTCAGCACAGTCTTTGTTTTTTCTGTCACATGACAGTTTAACATTGTTTTATCATAGATGAGTCTGTATGTGTTCTGTCATATGTCAGCCCATTGTTTGAACTGTCACATGACAGTCAATGCTTTGTTTTGTCACATGGCTTACTGTATTTTGTCCTTCACATGTTCATGTTTACTTTGAGCTGTTAGTTATGTTTGAACTTAGCAATAATGAGCCTGATTTTACTTTCTCAATAAAATGTGATTCTGAGCATACAAAATACATGATAAACATTCATAGATCAAAATTTGAATTCATCACTTCCAAAATAGAAAATATAATGATATAACTTTTAGACTTGACTAAAAACTTGAAACGTTATTTTTGTTATAATAAAAAGAACTTGTTCTTAAGGGGTTGTATGTGTATGGTATACTTTGGGGTATGTGAATGATATGATGTATATAGTTAGCAGACAATGCCAGTGACTGTTCATGTGTGTCCAATAGAAGTGAACACTTTTGCATCGTTAACATTTGATTACTGTGGTAACCATAATGCAAATTGTACAACTTTATCTGTTTCCATGAACAGATTGAGTTTAATTGATCATTGTAGACTTTCATGTGAAAATATTTCATCTTGAAGTGTTTGTCACTTTTAGTGATTGTTATACTAAAACCTATTCTCAGTTGCCATGGGTTTTCAAAGCATTTATAATATGAGTAGCATGTATATTTAGAGGAAAACATTACATGAAATATAATATATACATAGTTATATGTGCTGGAAGTTCTTATGTAAAATATAACTGATATATCAGTATATTAAGAATGGATGTAATTTCTTATGCATAAGTGGGGCAGCCTAGTGGTTAAAGCGTTGGTTCGTCACGCCCAAGACCCGGGTTCGATTCCCCACATGGGCACTATGTGTTAAGCCCATTTCTGGTGTCCCCCAACGTGATATTGCTGGAATATTGCTAAAAGCGGCGTAAAACTAAACTCAGTCAGTCAGTCAGTCTTATGCATAAGTACAAGGGCATCATCTCATTAAGTTGTAGTGCTGTGTTGAGGTAAAGGTATTGTGACAGTACTGAAAAGGTAGCTTCGTGAAACAAGATCCAGAGCAAGAACCACTTGATTTGTTTTATTCATGATGATTCGTGGGTAGCCCAGTTGTCAAAGGCACCACAAATCACTGAAACTTTCATCCCCTAGGAATTCCAGAAATGTAATGAAATGGCAGGTTCTCTTTCTACATTCACCCTGATTGTGTATTTCAGTTTGTCAGGCAATGGGGTAGCCTGGTGGTTAAAGCTTTCGCTCGTCACGCTGAAGACCCGGGTTTGATTCCCCACATGGGTACAATGTGTGAAGCCCATTTCTGGTGTGCCCCGGCATGGAATAGCTGGAATAGTTCTAAAAGCGGCATGAAAACCATTCTCTCTCACTCTCAGTATTTCAGCACCATAACCTTGCTCAAGGGTTTCACCAAACATGGCAAATATCTGAGACATGCATCACTCTGGCTTTTCTCCCACATCAAGCTGACTTGCCATGAAATAACTGAACTATAGTAAAGCAGCACTCATCACAGTTCATGATTGAGTGACATGTCCATGTTATCAATAATCAAGATGAAGTGGATGGTTTAGTGTGATGGTCCTGCTATCACTAGTACGCTGTAACAGCGAGTGTCAAGACAGCAGTGGTTATTTTCATTGGTGTTTTTTTTTAACAAATGTTTCCACATATTAATCCCAAACCTTTGTCGACTCCTGAAATCTGTTTTGATTTTCACATGATGGTTGTAGAAGACGTTATTAATTGAAATTACTATTAATACACAAACTAATAATGGGAGTTTTAACAAACAGCATGTTTCATCAGTGCAGACAGTTTGTGAACAGGCTGGCATTTGTTAAGTGTTGTTATTTAAAAATTAAATATATCACCAAATGACCAATATCACCAATATTTGCCCTCAGTATTTATGTTCGCATGCTTCACATGCATTGCTTTGTTACCTTGGTAATTAGAGGTTTTGTGGAAACATGGGAAAATATGTGGTAATTTGTGTACCCACAAGGGAAACTTATTTACAGAAAGTTATTCTTCTTTATAGAAAATAGTTTTGAAGTGCTATTAGGGATAGATAAAATTATGTACCTATGAATCATGTTATGTCTATAGAAGGATGTGATGGTTTGATGCCAGGTGTTCAGTGTTGGAGATTAGATTGTCTTTGAGACAATTCATAACTTGAAAATACCAGTACATTCCATTGACGCTATTAATTTCTATGTATTCATTTCTAATCACAATTCATATGACAGGTGGGACATTGTCGGTGAATGAGAGGTTAGACCAAATGTTTCTCACAGCAAAGGTCAATTTCTTAACATACAATGTTTATCTTCAGTTTCTAGTACATGTTGATTATCAATGTACCTATTTCAGTTCACACAAAAAATATGATATTAAGCTTAGGGATTGAATTTTCATCATACTTGCTCTCATGTACTATGCATTTTGGTACATTGAAAGAATACTCTAATTGTAATTTTAGGTTTAGTTTTTTCATATTTAGTTCATTCCTACCTATTTTCTCTCTGATCTCATCTGAACCTTTATTAGCATAAATATTTGCTTGCAGAGGTCATGCAAAATCATTAAAGTGTTTACTGATATTTACACTGTCTAAAAGATTTAGGAAATACAAGTGCACTCTAAAGAGCAACAGTAATTATATCCAACAAATGATTCAGTAATTTTGA